TAGGAGCCATAAAAGAATGAGAAGAAAATATCGGTCAATATTTTTCTTGGTAACCTTTTTTTATCGTGGCAAAGTGTACATAACATAAAATTTAGCATTGTAACCATTTTGAAGTGCACAGTCCGTTTCGTTAAGTACATACACACTGTTGTGCAGCCATCACCACCAGCCACCTCCAGGACGTTTTCATCCTCCCAATCTGAAACTGTACCTCCCCATTCCTCCCTCCCTGGGCCCTGGCAACCACCGTCCTGCTGTCTGTCTCTGAATTTGACCATTCTAGGCATCTCATTAGTGGAATCATACAGTATTTGTCGTTTTGTGACTGGCTTATTTCACTTAGCACAGTGTCTTCAAAGTTCATCCATGTTGTAGCAGGTGTCAGAATTTCCTTCCTTGTTAAGGCTATTGTTCCAGTGAACATATAGACTACATTTTGTTTGTCCATTCATCTGTCCGTGGACCCTTGCGTTGCGTCTACGTTTTGGCTGTTGTGAGTAATGTTGCTATGAACATCAGTGCACAAATACACGATCAAGTCCCTGCTTTGAATTCTTTTTTGTATATACGCAGAAGGAGAATTGCTGGATCATGGAATAACTTTCTTTTAAATTTTTTGAGGAACTGCCATACTGTTTTCCACAGTGGCTGCACCATTTTACATTCCCACTAGCAGTACACAAAAGGGGTCCAGTCCACACCCTTGCCAATACTTGTTATTTTCTGTTTTTTTAATAATAGCCATCCTAATGGGGATGAAGTGGTGGGAGGTCTTTTTAAGCATAATAGCAAAGACAGAAATCATAAAAAATTGCCAAATTTAGCTACACAGCTTCTGTAAATTTTTTAAAAATCAGTAATCAAACTTAAAAGGCAAACAGCAAACGGGGGGCTGGCCCGGTGGCGCAGTGGTTAAGTTTGTATGTTCCGCTTCAGCGGCCCAGGGTTTGCCAGTTCGGATCCTGGGTGTGGATCTATGCTCCACTTGTCAAGCCGTGCTGTGGCAGGCGTCCCACATATAAAGTAGAGGAAGATGGGCACAGATGTTAGCTCAGGGCTGGTCTTCCTCAGCAAAAAGAGGAAGATTGGCAGCAGATGTTAGCTCAGGGCTAATCTTCCTCAAAAAAAAAAAAGAAAAAAAGCCCTTTGACGCAGAAGTGTATCCTAAGAGAAGAATCAGTTGCACACAAAGATTTATAAACAACTTCATCAGAGTGTTACTTTATAATAGCAGAAAACTGCAAACAACTTAAATTTCTCTAAACTGGCTAAGTAAACTCTTGTGCGCCCCCAGAATGGAATACTTTGGCAGCCATTTCCAATCCTGTTCTTAGGTATGGAGGTGGGAAATTGCTAAGATGTATGAAGTAGGAAGAAAGCCAGAAAGAAAACCACATATAAAGAATAAGACTGTTTTGCGTATCATAAGAACAAAGACATTGTTTAATGATATCCAGGAAAAATAAATTGGAGGGAAATATTTTAAAATGTTCATAGCATTTTCCCCTGGTGTTGGGATTGTGGATAGTTTTAATTTTCCAATTTTAATTTTTCTAGATTTTCCAAATTTTCTACAATTTGACATGGAATACTTTGGGGACCGTTAAAAAAATAATGTTATTTTGAAGGGAAAAATAACCCCATGACCCTGTTTGTGGACAAGGGCAGTGCTTTGGGCCAGTCCTTTGGGGTTGGCTCCCAGGCTGTTCTCGTGGGTCCGGGTTCACCCAGCCTCCTGGCTTTTGTCCACCACAGTGACCGATTAGCACTGCTCCAGGTCCGGGCCATTCTCCAGCAGCTGGGCCTGAACAGCACCTGCGACGACAGTATCCTTGTCAAGACCGTGTGTGGGGTGGTGTCCAAGAGGGCCGCGCAGCTGTGTGGCGCGGGCATGGCTGCCGTGGTGGATAAGATCCGTGAGAACAGAGGGCTGGACCATCTCAACGTGACTGTCGGGGTGGATGGAACGCTCTACAAGCTTCATCCGCAGTGAGTGGGGCTTCCAGTTGGCATGGGCAGAGCTTCCTGGGCTGGCGAGTCCCCTTCATGGTTATGGGACATCAGGGTGTGATTCCCACCAGGAAAATTCCTCCTCAGGACTCAGCCAACCTGAAGGCTGTGTGGTCTGGGACTGGGGGTTGTCTGGGACCAGGGAATGAGCCGCTCTGAGGTTTAACTGCGAACCTTAGGGAGGCAGGAAAGTGGCTTCACTTGGCCAGCTCACACCAGCAGTGTGGTGTGTCCCTCTCCCCACTCCTCCTGGGCCCCTCTTAGGTCAGGCAGTGTCCAGCTGGAGGTAAGGATGGGCCTCCCCATCAGCCAGATTAGCTGCAGCCTGGCCAGGAGGCTGTGTTTGGTAAGTGGGGAGAGGGAGTGAAGGAAACTGGGAGGAGGACCCATTGTCTGGTTCTCCTGCTAAATCAGTCAAGAGCCTGGGAGTGAGGAGCAGTTTGGGCCCTGGGCTTTGTAGCGGGGAGCAGGTGGGGAGTGACCTTTTAGTCAAGTGTCCGACACCCCATGCTGGAGGAGGAGATGTGGCCCCATCTGCTCTTTGATCCACTGCATGTCCCAAAGCTTAGGAATAGAGTGCCCATATGATTTATTGTGTATACTGGGGTACTTTTGCCAGTACCCCAGAGTGCCACTAATAATTACACTGGGACCATCCCAGGTAAACCAGCCCATAATGTTACTTACTTAGAAACCGCCTTACCCAGCTCACTGTAGGCACTACCTGCTTACCTCCTGGCTGCGGGCTGGGATGGAACCATCTGCCTTGCTCCATCCCCACCTCTGTCTCTCCACCTTCACGGCCATCCTCTTCATCACCTGGGGCAGCACACGGGCGTAGATTACACGTGTGGATTTAATCCTGGCACCATCATTTAGAAGCTGTGCTCAACTGCTTAATCTCTGCCCAGTCTCATCTTCCTCACTGTGGGGCACCTAGCAGGTGTTCAGTGAAGGGCAGTCAGTGTTACCTCTAAGAGCCCCTTTGCCCTGAGCATCCTCAGCCTGGGCCTGTCTCATTTTCAGCACAAAAATGCAAGAACCTAGAATCACCTCTCTCAATTAGAGATTATCCTTCCCTAGGGGGCCTCCTGCTCTTGGCTTCAGGTGCTGGGTGCTGGGCCGTAGAAGGTGCTGGGCTGGGGGTTCTCTGATGGCTGCAGCCGGGGCTGGATGCTGTTTGTTCCCATGGAGCCTGCGGCACTGACCAAGTGCTGGGCCAGCTGGGGCCGGCCGTGGTGGTCTGTGCCCTGGCCCTAGCACTCTTGGTTTTCGGTCCCCTGGGAGCCTCGAGCTTTGAGGATGGGTGTGTCTGTGTGTTACTCAGCCCTCGCCCTTATAAGCTGTACAGAGTAGCTTGTTTTGGGATTCTCAGTTGTGCCTCCCTGCTGAAAACTAACAGGATCGGCTGTAAATCCACTTTCCGCCAGCCATTCTTAGGAAGCTGCAGCTGCACCTAAGCGGCCCCCTCCCGTCTTGCTTGCCCTCCTTATTGTTGGGTCCTTGAGCATCTTCAGGTGAGTCCAGTGTCTCTTCTCAGCTTCCTCTTCCTGCCCTTTTTTTCTTTTTTAGCTTCTCCAGAATCATGCACCAAACCGTGAAGGAACTGTCACCACAGTGTAACGTGTCTTTCCTCCTGTCCGAAGACGGTAGTGGCAAGGGGGCCGCCCTCATCACAGCAGTGGGCGTACGGCTCCGAGAAGACAGCTAAGAGCCCTGGGCCCCCAGCCTGCTGCCCCTCCAGCACGTCTCTCTTCCAGCGGCGACCCCCTCTTCCCAGCGAGCTGTGCTGGGAGACGCTGGCGCCAGAGCCCGCCACCACTGCAGTGGGGAGGAACACAAAAGCCACCTCATGGCACATAACGTAGGGTACAAAATAGAGTGTGTGCTGTTGATAATATCTCTCACCTCTGGACCCCTCCTCACCTGCCCTGCCACTCTGCATGATTTGATTTCAACCTGGTCGTACGTTCCCCACATGTGAAGTTTAGTGGTGTCCATTTCTAATTTATGCATTCGTCCAACAGTTATTTATTGGCCCAAGATGAAAAGTCACACCATCTGACAGGCCTTAGGGGCCTCCGCAGCCTGGTGTTGGGGACGCACCCCCTGTGAAATGTATTCTCATCAGCAGACACTGCCGGGACCCCTCCCAGAGGCGCGTTAGCCGCTTCCTCCGTCCCAGCACCCACTGCTGTCCGGCGTCCCAAGCTTCCTTTTGGGATGTATCAATGCCACTGAATCGTGTGTCCGTGGAACTGGTCATAGCCACATTGTGACAGTCTTGCATTCTGTCTGTCTTGTGGGGGAGGTGGGCAGTCCTACGGGAAGATGTTTTGTCTCATTTGGGTAAAAGGAACCAACCAACCAACAGTGCCCTCGTTGGAATTTCCCATCGCTTTTGTGAGCCATGTTGTATGACCTAGTAAACTTTGTACCAATTCAAAGACCCGAGTGATGCTTCATGGCTGGGGATGGGGGAGGACATCTGGGGATGCGGTGAAAACCAAACCCTGGGGATTTTTGTGGCCTTCTGGGTCAGAGGAGAGTTTGAAATGAAGATTGTGTCCTTCAGCCCCCAGCCTTCTTTGGGTATGAGGACTTTTCTCCTCTCCCTGCTAAGTGTCCTGGAAAAAGCCCCTCCCCCTCTCCAGCACCTGCCCTGCCGGTTCCTGCTCTAGCCCCACAGTCCTCCCCTGGGGAGAGGCTCCTGCAGCCCCCACCTCAGCACCTTTAAGAAGGTAAAGGGATGGAAGGCCTCTGTCCTCCAGCAGCCTGGCCTCCTCACTTGTAGTGGGAACAAAGAAAAACTCAACTTGGCTTCCAGGGGCTGTCTGGGTTTCATGAGAGGACAGTGCGCCACTGGCCCTCCCCTCTGCCATCCTAAGCAGATCCCTCCCTTCATCACCCTCTCTGCTAGCTCCAAGATAACAGATGAAACAGACCCCCTGCCCTAACACAGACGGAGTCTTGCAGCAGCCCAGGGCAGCGGGGTTGCTGCACTCTCGTGCTCCCCAATCTTAAATGAACCCCTATTGTAGGAAACCCTTTCATCCTCTCCCACCTCAACTTTGAGTTTGCTGTTCCCCCCATGGCCGCCATTTTGGATTCTCCCCCAGCTCCTTGGTAGGTCCCACAACAGTCCACATTCTGGTGCCCTGTGGTTGAGGTGCCACATGAGTCTCCCAAGCCATGACAACAGCTCCGAGTGGCTTCCTCCAGGACTGACTGCATGCTCACTGGGTTTGGTGAGACCAGAGTCTCTTTATTTGGCACTGCTGGTGCCTATGGCACAGTGATCTTTGTGGGGAAGACAGATAACATTCAACTTGTGATGTGCATTTACATTGGTACGTGCTTCTGAGGGCACAGGTTGTAGACAGTGAGTCGCCAGGCAAGCAGAGGTGTGCCCTTGGGGTGGACTGGGCCAGGTCTGGAGCTTTCTGGGAGTTGGGACAGTTGGCGTTCTCTGCCTGTCACCTTGCTGAGAGAAGTGAGCTATGTGGCTGACTTGCAGGGGGCATTCGTGTAAAATGACTGGTATGTAGTAATAAAAATCATGGCTGCTGTTTATTATGCACTTAACCTGTGTTTGGTCTGCTAGTTTATAGGCATGACTTCATCAGCCTCACAGCATTCCTGTGGGGTAGTTTTGCCATTGGGAGAGGAGGAGACTGAGGGTCAGAGTGACTTAGTCTGAGGCAACATAGCTGAGGCTCCTTTTGACTCTTAACCATCATCTACACTGGGCTGGATCTGAGTTCTTAGATGTTGAGGCAGAGAAGCCCTAGACTGATGGTGATGGGCTTTGCAAAATAAGAAACTTCCCCCCGCTGCCCTTGTGTCTTTAGCCTGATAATGAATCAGTGTCATGGTTGGATTTTGCCCACAGGTGTTGGGTTTCCCCAACATTTTAAAAATGTGAGCCAAAACTGACAAGTATGGAAGTCTCACAAATTTGGATTTCTGGCTTCTCTTGAAAGATTTAGAAGACCTGGCAATAATGGGCTCCCATTACTACATGGCAACATTTGTTCAGAGCAGATCAGCTGCTGTCCCCTCTGGATGCTGATGTCCTCCAGTTTGCCACAGTCCCCACCATTCCCTATAACCCCAACTGGAAGTCAGTTTCCTTCTATCTTCACATTTGCAGCTTTTCTTTTATACTGGATCCAATTTACTCATTATGTTGTATGCCTCAGGAAGGCATTTGAGCTTGCAACTCCTGGATTAGATAAGTGTTAGCTCACACTCTCTTCTTTGACTCTTATGGATCCCCTGAAGTACTGTCTGAGAGGGAGGCTGGGTCCTCTTCGAGTCAGCATCCACTGTGGAGTTCCTGGCCATTCTTGTTTTTCCATTGATGTGCTGAAGGCTGAGGCATGAGCCAAACTTTCAGACCTGGTCCTCTCAACTGGCTACTTCTCAAAGAGTGCTAAGCCTCGCCCTGCAGCCAGGCATAAGGCTTCAGGTTTCGGAGGCTGCCCTTCTTGGGGACCCCAGCCTGCCCGTTGGCAGCCTCAGCCACATCGCTGGCCATGAACAGAGTCTCTTTAGTGTGACACCTTTTGACCCTCATGGAGAGGGATGGAGTGTGAGTCAGTTCAATCTTATCCTCCTCGGTTGGCGTGACCCATGGGCAGCAACGGAAAGCAAGCCGGAATCCAGAGCGAAACCTGGGGGATGGAGGGCCACCTTGAGTAAGGGGGTGAGTGGGACAGTTACGAGAGCTGTTATGTGTCTCCCCCACCACCAGGAGCCGCTCTCGTCTCCAGAGGAAAGTCGCTGCCTCGCTCCTAAGAGCCCACCATCGCTCAGGGTCTCTGGAGAGACACATTCCTTAGTGGATGTGATTTTTGGAAACAGCCAGAAGTAATCTGGAACTAAGCCTAGTGGCTGAAGTGGGTGATTAAGCTGAGTTAGACCATTTGTTATTACAGACAGACAAACCACGTACAACTAACGAGAAACAACAGATTTTCTTGTTTGACTTGTTAACTGGCTTCTAAAGGAGTGTTCAAAGAGGAGTCTTAAGAAATTGGGGCTTTGGCAATGTTGGGTGGAATAAGGATGCTCCCCCAAGGGGCCTGCCTTGAAGGAAAATATACATGGGGAACTTGTGAGTTTTGGTACATCTGCTTAGAAGATAAACAGCTCTCCCCATGGCAGCACTGAGGGTCCACATGTAAATTAGAGATAAGAGCAAGCAGACAGCGAGCGCAGGGAAGGGGCTGGCAGAAGAGAACACTGGCCTGTCAGAGGGGAGCAGAAATAAATGAGACCCTTTGTGACAGTAGAGAGAGGCAGAGAACTGTACGCTCTGTTCCCAGGAGACGTAGGGTTCCATGTTCCAGAAGAGCAGGCCTGACTTTGGTTCCTTCCCTTGTAGCTTGATAAGATTCCACTGTGTGACCCAAAATGCCTTTATTATGGGAACTTAATGACCTCTGCACCTTCCACCCACACTCAGCATGTCCCAGCCCCAGCTCCTCCTCATCCTCCCACCTCCTTCCTGTCGTCCCCATCTCAGTTTCCAACAACTGACAACTTCCAGTTGTTCAGGCCAAGAACCTAGGAGTCGTCCTTGCCTCTCGCATGCCACCTCCACTCCATCAAATTCTGTTGGCCCTACCTTAGCAATATCTCGACTCTGACCACTTTTTGCCCCAGTGTAAACCCAGCATCTCTTGTCTGGATCACTGCAGTAGCCTAACCATCTCCCTGCTTCTCCCCTTGCCCCTCTGTGGTCCAGTTCAATACAGCGGCCGGAATGATTCTTTCAAAAGGGAAGTCAGAGTATGTGTCTCCCCTGCTCAGAGCCCTACAAGGCTCCTCATGCCTGAGCACTGGTCCAAGTCCTCACCTTGACCACAGGGCCCTTGCCTCGGCTGTTCCTTCTGCCTGGAACTCTTCCTTAGCTGCAGGGCCCACTCAGTCCTCAAGTCTTTGCTCAAAAGACTCCTCAATAAGGCCTACCCTGACCATCCTGTAATATTGCAGCCCCCGTGCCCACTGCTTCCCCCAGCTCCCCCGTCCTCAGCTTCAGTTCTAGTTTTTCTTTTTTCCATAGGACTTATCATCTAATACACTGTGTGGTTCACTTGCTCATTATCTTTGCTTATTGTCTGCCTTTGCCCACGAGACTGTCAGCTCCCTGAGGAAAGGGATCATTGTTCTTCACCAGCTCGTGCCCCGTGCCTGGAACAGTGCCGGGCGCACACAGCCCGTGGTGAGCATTTTCTGAATGAAGAGTCCTCCAGAAGCACCGGCCCTCCTTTGGAGCTAGTGTCATCAAAGACGGGATGGCTCAGAAGTTCTTTCAGGACCGTGTAGAGCCCTGGGGTGTGGTTCAGACGCCCGGAGACGGTGTCGGGCAGCATGAGAGTGACCAAGGCACAGACACGGAGGGCTGGGCCCCTCCCTCATGTGACAGTCCCTGTCTCCAAGCTCTCACTCCTACAAGCTGCATGCGAGAGACATGTGTGATGTGGGGACAAGATTACAGGCTTGGAGCCGCCTGGAACCCTGGCTCCACTGCTTGCTGTCTGAGTTTAGGAGAATCTTCCTTTCTGGGGCTCACTTTCCTCATCTGTAAAATGGGGACAACACCTCCCTCCCTCATATTATCTGCTTACCTCTCAGGGGACAATGGAGGGTTCTGGCACCCATTAAACACTCAGAATCATAGTTCTCTCACTTCCTTCAGGCCTGCCCCAGGTGGGTGGGATGTCTGAGCACCAAAGACCCTGCAGGCATGAGTGGCCTGGGCACGTGGGCAGAGAGGTGATAAACGCATGAACAAAGAGACCCAGGGCCAACCTCACCCCCACCACTGTCTTGCTGAGGCCAGGACTCAGGGTCCAGCTCTCATCTCCTCTGACCTGGCCCCACCGTCAGGGTTTTCTGAGGCTGAACGGCCTGCTCTGCAAGCAGGACTCCTGAGTGCTGGGGTTCCCGCCTGGCCCACCACCTCGCACCTCTCCAAGTGCCCAGAGCAAATGCCAGCCCCTCTCTGGGACCCCACTTCCCCAGACGTCCGAGGGCTGGGAGAACCAAACGGTGTCTGAGGGAGCAGTGAGGTCTCGGCTCCTTCCTCCCTGGCTGTCTCTGCCAAGGTCACTTCCCAGCTGCCCTGACTGCCCCTCAAGGGCAGGAAATGCTCTGTGATCTTCCCAGGCAGCAGCCTGCCTCCCTCCAGTCTTGGCCCCAGCCTCTGACTGGGTGCTCCATGCTGCTCACCTCGCCCGAGGAAAGGCCTCGGTTCTTCCTCATTGCAGGCAGCTCTTAAAAACGTCAGGACAGAGTAAGGCCCTCCCTCCCTACCTAGCTCCTTCCTTCCTTCCTCTGTGTCCTTCTGCCTCTCCCCCTCCCTCCCGTTCTCTCTCCTCCTTCTCCCAGATGTAGCCCCCAGAAGAGAGAGCAGGAGCAGACAGACGATGAGAGCTCTGGCCTGGGCAACGGGCCAAGGCTTGGAGGAGGGAAGGCTCAAGTGAGGCCCAAAGCAGAGGGAGGAGCATGCTGTGGGCTCACTGTGAGATGCCAATCCCATGTCGGGGTGGGGGGCACAGGCGCACAGGCTCAAGCTGTTTAGGGGAGCCCAGAAGGGGCCGTGGGAGGGGAGGGGTCGGGGGAGGGCTCACCTGCGGTTAAGGCAGCAATAGATGATGGGGTTGTACATGGTGGAGCTCATGGCCAGCCAGAAGAGCGCCAGGTAGACCTGCTGGATGAACTTGTGGTAGTAGATGTCCTCCTGGAAGCTGCCCAGGATGAAGTAGAGGTGGTAGGGCAGCCAGCAGATGGCAAACGTCACCACCACCACCACCATGGTCTTCACGAACTGGTCCGGGAGAGGCTCAGGTCACTCCTCAGTCTGGAAGCCCCAAGCCCCCATCCTCCTGATGGCAGGGGTGGGGCGCCCTCCACGCCAGCCCTCTACAAGCAAGTCTGTCTACCTCTATGGCCTCAGTCCCCTGGAGCATCTGCTGCCCAGACACTCCTGGCCCCTCCACTTTGGGCCTTTAGGTCAGTCTGGTCCCTCTGTCCCTTCACCCCTCAACGCCCAGCTCAGCAGCCGCCTGTTCTAAAAGGCATCCCAGATCCCTCCCTCAGAGCAGCGCCCCTCCTGGAGAGTGGATGAGCTGGTGCTCTTAACCCTATCCTTAGGGGTGCCCCTATGCCGGCTATGGGGTCCCAGGTCCCCTCTCCCTGGAATCTGTGCCTGGCACAGCCCTTCTATCCCTAGATAGTGAGGCTCCAACTGGGGACCCCACCAGCCCAGGGGCCAGCTCCCTGACCTTTCCCCCATCATGGCCTGGTCTCTGCAGGTGCCCTCAAGCACAGCCAGTACCCTATGAGGGATGGAAGGGCAAGCAGGCATGGCAAATGGAGGCCAGCTCCCCATGAGGAGGGGCAGCAGATGGCGTCCCATGTCCAGCTACGACTCCCTGAATTGCCCTCTGCAAGACGCCTAACAGCTGATGAGAAGCCGAGTAGAGTCTCAGACCTGATCCATGATGTGATGGGCCCACTGCCTCCCGGGTCGCCTGACGGGAAGGGGGTGCAGCAAAGATCAGCCTTAGTGTGGAGAGAACGGAGGCGGTCTGGAGCAAAGAGTCCCGTATCAGGACCCTCAGGAGCCCCGAATGGCAGGCAGGAGGGGGACACTGGCACTTCGGTTAGAAATTGGGGACAGACTTGATGTAGCTGGACTACAGGCTAGTCTCCATGATCTCTGAGGTCTGCAGTTCCAGCATTTAAGAATTCTCCTGGGCCAGCCCTGGAGAATTAGTGGTTAAGCTGCATGAACTTCCCTTTGGCCCGGGTTCGGTTCTGACCCGGACCTACAGCACTGGTCTGTCAGTGACCATGCTGTGGCCGCAGCTCATTACAAAAAGAGAAAGACTGGCAACAGACATTAGCTGAGTGAATCTTCCCCAGCAAAAAAAAAAAGAAAGAAAGAAAGAAAGAAAGAAAGAAAAAAAAACCCCAAGAATTCTCCTGTGATTCTATCTAGGAGCCGGGGAGTCTCGTGTGGTTCTGTGAGGCTTCTTAAATTCAACATTCTGATTACTCAAAAAGTCTGATTTTAGATTCTATTACTCTAAGATTCTTGAAGGCATCTGAAATTCTATGGGGGTTTCTGATTCCCTGATTCCCCTAACATTCTGAAAGGGTGCTTTAACTCTGTATTATGCCAAAGACTAAAGTCCGCCTGCCCGGAAGACCCAATTCGAGCTCTGGCCAGGTACTTGAGACAGGAGCAAGCTACGGGCGGGCGGGCGAGCGGAAGCTGTCTTCCGCAACCTCCCCTCGACCGCGGCCCTTGAGCCCGGAAGGGCGGCTACTGAGGTGGGGCCAGGTCTCCGGCCCCGCCCCCACCCCGGCCCGGCCCGGCCCCGCCCCCGGCGCCCACCTTCTTCTTGGCCCGCAGGTGGCGCCGGTTGGCGCCGTGCGCCGGGTGCCCGGGGACCGCGCGTCTCCAGAGCGTGAGCCCGATGATGCTGTAGGCGATGAACATCACCACCAGAGGCAGGAAGTAGACAAGGGCGATGACCACGAGGTGGTACCTGGAGGGAAAGCCAAGGGCGACTCCGGCATCGACCAGCGCTCAGTGCCCCGGACCCCGCGGGCGACCCTGAGCCACCTCCCAAGGCCTTGGTTTGATCTAAAGGAAGAAATGATAAAGGCAACATTGGCCAGCATATGTGCCCAAAGAGGGCTTCCCTTGCCACAAAAGGGACACCAGCATTAGCGCTGCGTCCTTCCAAGTGATAAAGTACCAAAAAAGGAAATAAATAGGGATGAAAAAGTTAACCAAGTAATACATTTGTTTAAAATTTAAAATGTTATTAAGCACAAAGGAGGAAATAAAATTACTTATCCCACCCCTACCACTATTAACAATTTGAAATATTTTCTTCCAGAATCATATGTGCGTATATCTATGTACATATGTATTAGATAGATGGCATATAATCGATTTCTGCATCTGTCTGCATAGACAGATCTCCTGGAGTTGATATGGTTCCATCCTACACCAACATCCCTATCCCAGAATGGAGCAGTGGAAACGCACCACACTGTACATGCTACTGAGTCATCTCTTCCTGCCCATCAGCCTTTGGTTGGGAACGGCTCATGTCCGCAGACCCTCTTTTACACCAGCTTTGAGCAAGGGGCCCAGAACCCCACTGCTGGCTACTCATCCTGGCCCTGTGGAGGATGCCCCAGGATGTATTCACGCTGTTTCATTTCCTTTTTGAAAGATGGTGTAAAGGAGATGGGTGCTGCCCATTCTGGTTTCTGACTGATGCTGCAGCTGCTTTCCGACAAGGTCCAGGTGGGAGCATCCTGTGAATGGGCCTGAGACCCCTGGCCCTGTCATGTGACCATTTTCTAGAAAGGCTGAGGTGTTCCCAAACCTCCCACCCCCACCCACCATGTGCCAGTCTTGCTGGGCCCCTTTCAAGAGGCTCTGCCACCCAAGGGAGTGGAACAGGTGGCTCCAGCAAATGTCTTCCCTAAAGCCTGGGTTTAGAATTCTGCTTGCTTGCTCTTTTGGCAAGGATGCTAATCACAAAAGGTTTGGGGGCTCCTAGATGCCCTGCTCCTCATCTGGTCCCACTGTGGAGCAGGTAACCAGGGGCAGGAGCAGGAGCCAGGCCCCTGTCGCCTTCCCTTTATTGTGAGGTCACACAGTGTCTGAGATAGATAGACCTTGAGGATCAGCAGGGCCACCTGCCCCAGTGTCCAAAGGGGGAAACTGAGGCTCCAAGAAGCACAGGAAGTCCATGTTATATGAACCAGCACTACAGTCTTAACGCCCACACGATTTCCTTTCACTGAGGGTCAGTCAGCCCTAGGGAGTCAGAAGAACTGGGTTCTTGTCCAGCCTCTAATTTAAAGAGTGACCTTGGGCAAGTCAGAATCTCTCCCCCAGTCTCAGTTTCCCCATTTGTGAAACGAGGCGGTGATCTCTGAGATCCTTCTCCAGTATGAGTGACATCTCTCCATTGCATCATTCTTTCTGTGGAATACGGTGCAGGATAGGAATTCACTCTGGGCTAGGTTCCCACGCAGAAGGGAGGCGCCTTGGGGGCCATTTTCTAGGGGCTGCCAAAATCAGGGATGCCTCCTCTCAGCCTGGACTGTCTTTTCTGTATTTGGATTTTGGCAGTGCCTGTGCATTTTCCCAGAAAGGGCATCTGTAACTTCATCAGGTTCCTACACACACAGGATGTGAGCCTGTGCTCATGGAGCCCCCAGTCTAAACCTCAGAAGCTCCACCACTTAAGAACAAGCCATACCTTCTCACACACGAAACCAGGCTTTCCCCAGATCCTCTCAGAATTCTAGGTAACTCCAAAGTATAGCCTTCCTACCCCACCTCTGCCCTCCTGTGTGTCCTTGTTGCCTGAATCAGGATTGGAACTCACCATCCCCACCCCCCACCCCCCCCCCCCCCCCCCCAGAGAGCTGGTGCTCAGATCCTTCAGTTCTTACTGGTCGTGTCCCGTCGTCCCCGCCCTCCCCTCCCCCTCCCCCCTCCGCCCTCCCCCTCCAACTCCCAGGGAGAAAAGGCTTGTATTAAGGTGGAGAAACACTGCCTCCCAGTGGCCAGTGATGAAATATTCTGCTCTCCACCCTCCCTAAGCCAGAATAGGCGGCGCTTCCCTATATGGACACCACCCATGGAGCGGTGAGTCCTTCTGAGAAAGCAGGGCGCAGGATGGGGGCAGAGACCTCGGGCAAGGCCTGCCCTCGAAGCTTCGCAGAGGAACGGTGCCTTCCCTGGCACTGAAGACCACAGCGCCGCCCTCTTCTGGCCGGCGCTCGGGACAGATGGAGACCAAATAGGGGTGGATGTTGGGGGAGGGGTGTCAAAGGAGGCTGGAGTGGGGGCTGTGTTGCATGGTGACCCGGCAGCCCTCGGCTCAGAGCATGCACATGCTCATGCTTGGGGCTGCTGGGCCTTTGTGGGACTAAATCTGCCACCTCCAGTTTTGGTTTCGTTTGTTCCCTAAACTTCTGCATACCGGGTACCACTTCTGTGCCAGGCACAGTGCTAAGGGTGTCACATACATTTTCTCTTGTGTGCTCACAACAACCCTCGAGCAAGCTTCTCTTACTAACCCCATTTGAAAGAGAAGAAACCGAAGGATCAGAGAGGTTAAGTGACTTCAAAGGGTCCTCCATCCAGCAGGGGACAGAGCAGGACTCCGAACCTCCAAAACCTCAACCAATTCTTTATCCTCTACTAACGAACGGTGCCGTGCTTAAGGATCACGAAGCCACGGTGTGAGAGCTGGGCAAACTGAAGCCCAGAAAGGGAAAGCACTCACCCAGGGTCACACAGCGGCTGGACCGTGCCTGAATTCTTCTACATTCTCTCCCTGCCCCCAGCCCAAGGTGGGCACCAGGCAGCCTCCTGAAAACACCCCAGGCTCTGTCCACTGCCGCTTCTTTCTGCCTCAGTACCCTGACCCTCCGTGGCCTCAGCATTTACAACGCCCTCCCCCAAGCACGCACACACACACACACACACACACGGATACGAGTGGGGGCAGCATGCCTGCGCAGGCAGCGTCACCCGCCCGTGTGCACACATACCTGTCCTCATTTAAGGACACATGTATCCTCATTTAAGTAGCAGAGTGGTGAGGAGACTGGGCTCGGAAGCAGGACTGCCTGGGTTTAAATCCTCACTTCACCACTTACCAGCTGTGTGGTCTTGGGCACATGACAATTTTTTAGTGCCTCAGTTTCCTCATCCAAAAAATGAGAAGAATAATACATACCCCATATTATTAGGAGAATTAAATGGGTTCATATACATAAAGTGCTTAGAACAAGCCTAACACTTAGTAAGTGCTGTTACTTTTAGTATATACATGAGCTCACATAATCCCCAATACACTCACAGACACATGCGCACACCCACTGCACATGTACATGCATGCGTGTGCATGCATCTTCACACAAGCACACACATTCTCCGGTGTATGCGCATGCACACACACATACACACGCACCATGCTCCCCCACCCCCCAGGCAGGCCTTACAAAAGGAGCATCTTGCCGCCACTGTCTTCAGGCCAGGCCACCACGCACTTGGTGGCGCCCTGGTCCATGGTGATGGTGGAGTAGAAGCATTGGGGGAAGGCGAGGGCCAGGGCCACCAGCCAGATGCCAGCAATAACCACTCTGGTGCCGAGGGCTGAGAGCCGTGGCTGGAAGGGGTGGACGATGGCCATGTACCTGTGAGCAGAGGGCAGTGTGAGTGCTGGGTCCCCTCCTGTGGGACCAGCTCCCCACCCCCTCCCCCACCCCAGGCCCACACCTTCTAGCCCCATTCCCCACACTGTTGCTGGTGACCTGAGGAAAGCCAGTTGGGCTGGTGACTCTCCCACAGCCACAAGGCACGCTTATCCCCTAAACCCCAGCCCAGACCCCACCGCACCGCCTCCCTCTGAGCGTGGATGTGCTGGCAGGTGGCACAAGAGAGCAGTGTGGCCACACCGGAAGTCCATCTCCTGGTAGTTGCCTGACGCTCAGCTCTGCCGAGCCCTCAGCCCCAGGCCGGTCCCTCTTATGTTCAGAAAGCTTAGCAGAGCCTGACTGTCTCCCAGATGAAGCCCAGGGCCGTGCTGCCCACCAACTTTCTGCAGTGGTGCTAATGCTCTCTACACGCAGGCACTGCCCTGTTTGGTTGCCACCAACCACATGTGGCTGTGCGCACTGGAAGCATGGTCAATGTGACTGAGGAATTGAATTTTCAGTTTTAGTTAATTTAAACACAAATAGGCACATATGGCTGTGGTTACATTATTAGACAGTGGAGGCCCTTCCACGCGGCGTTCGAGGCCCTCTGCACCTGGCCAGCGCACTTTCCAGCTCTGTGTCACTGCTTCCCACACCTTCCCCGGCTCAGGCTGGTCATGGAACAGCCCTGCTCCTGACCCTCTGCAGGGTGTTTCCTCCCCTCAGCCTGGAATTCCTCTTTCCTCTCTGGACTCATTAACGTCCAGGTGGAAGGCCACTCCTCGGGGAAGTCAGCCAGGAGCAGGCTGGTTCCTCAGCTCCTGCCTCTCTCTGGGGGAACCTGCGGGATCTGAGCTGCCATTTGGCACGTCTGCGAGTTACTGCAGGCAGGGTCGTTATCTCCGTTTTCCACAGCAGGAGACCGAGGCTTAGAGAAGTGGAGGAAACAGCTTGGAAGAGGCGATGCTGGCTTTGAACCCAGGTGGCCTAGTTCCCCTCTGCTCCCAGGACCCCAAAAGCCACCGGTGGGGCTGAGGCCTCGTGGGTCTAGAGCCCCAACTGAGGAGGGGAGAGCGGCGGGCAGTGCCTGCTTCCCCAGGGTCGGAGGGTCCTAAGGGCCCCACCTCTGCCCCCTACTGCCTCCGCTGTGCTGTGTGACCTGGGGCTTGGTGTCCTCCTCTGAAGAAGGAGGGTGGGTGTCATGGACCTATTGTCCATCCAGTGAAGCCCAGAGGACCCCTCCTCAGAAGAACGTTTTTATAGGAATAAATTATAATACGCAGGATTACAAACACTATAAGTTATACTGAAATACAGTTATGCAACTATAAAATAAACTTGGGACACAGTAATACCCGTGCCACTTTGTCAATCCACTGAACAAGGAGACCCAGCGGCAGGTCTGGACACTGCGGTCGTTTTGAAGCAGTGATGGGTGTGGGCGATTCTGAGGCTCCTGCACAGCAGGAGTGTCTCATTTCTCTTGGTGACATAGTCCCAGGCACTCCTGTTGTGCCAGCAAACCAGGGTGTGCTGCCTACACTTGTCATTGTGATTTTCCCCCCACACAAGTCCATGCCCCCTCAGATTGCTGCCCACAGTCTGTGGTCACAGGCTCTGTGACTGTTGGCCCCCTCGCTCCTCACACTGCCACGCTGACCTTCTCCCATGACTGTGGCCCCGCCCTGGTCCAGCTCTGCCGCTCAGTGGTCTGGACCGGGGCCAAGTCCTCAGCAGGACAAGAGGAATGGGCCGTCTCTTCCAGGTCCTTGAGCAGCCCCGCGCCCCCTCAGCTGATGAGGTGGCCAGAGGGTCCCTTGGGGCGCCAGGTCCCTTGCTGTCCCGGGAGTGGGGCGAGAAAGAGGAGGCTTTCTTCTCGTCCTACCAGCGGAGGGGCAGGCCTGGGGCTTTGGGCTCAGACTGGATTTGAATCCTGTCTCCACTGCTTTCCAGCAGTAGGGTCTTGAGCAAACAACCTAAACTCATTGGGGCTCCGTTTCCTCCTCTGTGAGATGGGATGATGTAATTTGTGCCACTAGGGTTGTGGTGCAAAGCAAATGAGATGCTCCAGAGGCGCCTGCAGGCAGCAGGGGCTTGGGGCTCAGAGTGTGATTATTCCTATTCATTTAGTCCCTTTAAATTTACCAGAAATGGCTTTCGTCCTAGATGACCCCTGGACCTTCCTCCTGGGGTTAACCTGAACCTTGGGACAAGGCCAGGACAGAAGGATGTGGCCTCAAGTTTTGTTTAGCTCCCGCCCTGGGCAGGAAGTCCCCATCCTGGGGTCTTGGGCGTTAAGTGAGCCGGGCTCTGGCCACGAGCATCTCCACCCTGTCCAGGTGAGGCCGCCCTCCTTGCCACCCCTCACACACTCTAGCCGTGCTCCCGCTGTGGGCTGCGGCTACCTGGAACCTTCCTTCCCCGGAGCCCACAGGGCTTGTTCTCTCTCTCCTTCCTGTCTTTGCCAGTCCCGACACCCTCGCCCCATCAAACCATCCTGAGGAGGAGTCTGTGTCTCCAAGGGCCCCCAGGCCCCGCCTCACCTCCCACACGTACCTGGTGTCTGCCCTCTTTTTGTTTGCTGTCTATCTTAGCTACACTCCTCCCCAACACATAATCCCCTTCCACATCCAAACCGGGCCCTGCCTGCCCCAACCAGCTTTAAAAGGACTCCAGGTCTGCCCAGCGATCACTCCTCCACCCCTCCCTGGCCCCCCTCAACAAAGGATCTCAGTCTACAGCCCCTGAGAGCAGCACTGGGAACATAATTGGCCCTGTTGTAATTATATGGTGACTGCATGCAATATTAAATTTTCGCCTTGTATAACTTACTAGGAATCGGAAAACAATATAAGCTACTTTTTACAGTAAAAGAAAGACACCACAACAAAGATCAACTCTAGAGAAGAACATTCCAGAAGGCCCCTAAAACCCTGCTGCTTCTCCCCTACAGCCTTGAACAACCGTCTAGTGCAGAGTGCCTCCTTGTGTCTAACCTTAACCTGCCTGCTTCAGTTCCGCAGCCCCCCGTGTTCCAGATGCGTAGTTTTGGATCACAATCTGGTGGGGAGGCACTTCCCTGGATTTTACCCTAAACTTGCTGTGTGACTGTGGGCAAGTCACCAGCCCTGTCTGAGCCCCAGCAAAGTGAGAAGGCTCCCCCAGCTTCCCTGTTACCCCTGCTTACCTGTCGGCAGCGATGGCAGTCATGGAGTAGATGCTGACGAACATGGCTGTGATGGGGAAGAGGTTCTGGAAGTAGCAGAAGGCACGGCCGAAGTACCAGACGTTGTGGCTGGCATAGACGAAGTTGAAGGCGGCGTTGAAGGCGGCCATGCAGAGGTCGGCCAGGGCCAGGTTGACGATGAAGTAGTTGGTGACCATTCGCATCCTCCGATGAGCCAGGATGATCCAGATGACCGTGGCATTGCCTGTCACAGCCACCAGCACCAGGGCCAGGTAAGCTGTGGCCCACAGTGCCAGCTGCCAGCCGGGCATGGAGAAGGCCGTGATGCCTGTGGTGTTGCTCTCAAGGCCAATCGAGATGTTGGCATCAGTCGCAATGGCACAGGCCCCCATGTCTGCCTCTGGGTCTGAGACAAGGGGCCCGGCTCCTCGGCTCCTCCTGGGCCCTGGTGCCCCACCCAGATATGCTGTAGAAGAGAGATCCTCTTTGGTGCCTGAGTGGTGGGAGAAAGAGACGGGGCAGAGCCAGGCACGTCAGGGGAGCTGGGGTCCCTCCCGGGTCTCGGGCAAAGATGAGTCAGGCTGAGCAGAGAGCCAAGTCCAGAGCCATTGACATTTCGGAGTCCCGTGTCCCCACAGACTTCTCCAGTGTCACGTGGAAATCCAGAATCCAAGACGTAGTTTCAGCGCAGGAAATGTGGTTGTAAATCGTGAGTTGACCCCTTCACTTCAGAAATGGGAAAACAGATTCCAAGAGGGGACCAGCCCAGGTCCCTCAGTAAGGTGGTGGCCAGTCAGGACTCAAACCCAGGTCCTTCCTACTACTCTTTAGGACATATTCTGGATCAGATGAGCGCACAGCAGCGGTCTCAGGATCCGCAGGTCCTCTGCACAGCAGCCTGTCTCCCCCGCCTTGGGGCGCAGGACGGTTGCCAGCCCTGGAGGCGCTGCCTTTCTGGCTGCTCTCCTCCAGCGTGGGGCGGGCAGAGGTGCTGCCTGCCCATGAGGTGGGGCCTTGGCTCCTGCCCTTCCTCCCACCCCCTGCTTGGATGGCCCAGCCTTGTCTCTTGAGGAAAGATTTAGAACTAGCTGTTGAGGCAGGAGAGACCCAGGGAACAAGGGAGCAGCCAGGGTGGGCTGGCACAGAGGGCACAGTCCTGCACTGGGGGGTGTTTACGTTTGGCCTGGGCTGGGAGCTACAGCTACAGAGCGATTAGGAACACTCACTTGCGGGCCAGACTGGGTTTGAGTCGGCCTTAGTGACTCCAGGCCAATTCTCTTAAACTTTCCAAGCTTCAGCTTCCCCACCTGAAAAATATAGGGACAATAAACTACACATCTCACGGTATATCTGTGAGTTTAAATGAGATAATGTATGTAAAGTCTATTTAGCACAGGGAGGGGCACATAAAAAGCGTGACAGGTAGTTGTAGCCCCACGGGAGGCCCCCAGGCGGCTCAGGGCTCTGCAGCAGGGAGAAGAAAGAACTCAAAGCGTTTCTAGCAAGTTCTCAGGTGATACTGATACTGCTGGTCCAGGGACCTCACTTTGAGAACCATTGTCTTGGGATAAAGACAGTGCTCGCTGCCTCTCCCGTGAGCCCCAGAAAGCCCTGAGGGGCTGCACACAGGAATCTGCTCTTGGTCATTGACTGTACGTGTGTGCTGGGCACCACCTGAAGCTGTGACTGTGTGTGTGTGTGGCAGATGTAAGCGCACACACACTGTACACCTGTGCATACCTGTGAGTGTGTGGACCCTCCGGGTGGGGCAGGCTCAGAAGGGCAGGCGGTGTCCCTCATTAAAGTGGAGGAGGGCTCGCACCCACCAGCATTGGTGGCCCTGCTGCGCTGCTGTGCGAATGTGTGTTTGGTCTCCTGGGAATCCACGCTGCTCCCTGGGCCCCTACCCTGCTGTGCGTGTGTGTCCTGTGGGGCCCTGGGACTCCTGCCCTCTGCAGAGTCAGCTGCAGACACGACTGGTTCCAGCCCCAGCCAAGCCATGGGGCAGAGGCTGTTCCTTCTCTGGAGCGGGCCACCAGCCTCTGTTTGGATGTCTGTCCTTCGCTGAAGGGCCTCTGCCTTTGATCTCTTTTGGCAGCAGCAGCAGCCTCTCAACTTCGGGTTGTTTGTCTCGTGCTCCGCCAGCCAGGGTTTTGGAGGTAGAATGTGTAGACATAAGGACATAAGCACAAGACAACCTTCTCTTTGCTCTTCTGCCTGCTACTCCCAGGCAGCGGGATTCCTTCAGCTTCAGGTGAGGGCAGAGTGCGGGGCTGGGACACCCAAGAGCTTGCCACCAGTCATAGAAGCCCAGAATAGTACACATTCCTCACCCCGCCAGCATCCCGCCACCGCCATTGTATATGTAATGGGGATTATATTTTGGAGCTATTAAATCTGGGAGCTTTTATTTCCCCCTTAAATCTTGTGTTCTTGCAGCTTTCCAACTATGCACTTGCAGCTTCACGGAAGGAGAGAGTGGGGGCCGCCCCGACAAAGGGGTTGCTGAGGGCCTTGCTGCTCAGAGCTGACCGGCTGGGTCCATCGATAGACAACGGTCTTGAAGGCTAGTCTTGGTTAAAAGAGAAAAAAAAGTTGTAAATCCCTTTAGCTCCTATGGACACATCAGGACTCCAGTTTGCTTCTTGAGGTCCATGTAAGGGAAGTCCCCTCCGCCAGGAAGCGGAGGGGAAAGGCTGCCCATTGGTCCTGGCTGGATGGGCTGAGCTGATGGCACAGGTTGAGTACCCCTGGGAAGCGACCCTGATTCAGACTTCAGCATGCAGGATGTTTATTAAGGAGCCCACTGGGAGCGACACTGGGGATGGGAGGGGAAGGAAGCGGGATTGGGTGGAGGAAGAAGTTGAGCTGCGATGATGCGTTAGACAGCAGCCTTGGACATCCCCACGGGTCGGGCCGCTCTGAACTAGGACGGCCCTGTAGAGTTGCCCTGTGTAGGGCAAAGGCGGCCAGGCCTCTACACGCCCACATTGGTACCTGGATCTAGGCTGCCCAAGAAGGGGTGCGACCTTGGACAAGGCAGCTCTCTGCACGGAGGCAACTGCTCTGCCACCAGCACTCCCAGCAGCTTGAAGGAGTGTGGGAGGCACACGAGCGTCCCCCAAGGCTGAATGGCAGCGTCCCCCACGGCTGAATGGCAGCCTCCCCCATCACACAGGCCATGAGCTGCCGAGTGCTCCTGGTCCCCTCTGCTCCTGTGGCCTCTGGGCTGGAGGCCTGAAGACTAGAGACGGGAGGGGCATTGTTTCTCAGGGAGTTTGGGGAGGAGAAGAGGGGAGCAGCTGTGGGGATGAGGGAAGTGGATGGGAGAGAACAGCGGGCTCCAGGAAGCGTTGGGACTGGGTGCTCCTCCAACACTGTCCAATAGAGACCCCTGACCGTGTCTGTCTCTCTGTCTTTCTCTCTCTCTCTCTGTCTCTCTCTCTCTCTCTCTCGCCTGGAGATGGCACTAGGCTTGGGCCTCTTGGTCACGGCTTCAGTGGGTCACACGCAGCAGCTGCCAGGACATTAGTGCTGGAAAGTGCCGTGGATCATCTAGTCACCACAAAGCTCCCCTGGAGGGGGCGGCACGAGGACGGCAAGGACAGCACAGCGAGCTTGATTCAGCTGAGTGAGTCGGTTTGAAGGCTCAGCCTTCATTCTGAGACTATGCCCTTCCTGCTTTTTTGGGTTAAAATGCCCTCTCTCATGAAATAATGGTGATGGCAGATGGTAATTGTTGGCCTGGTTTTCGTTTTTCTCTAAAATTCCTTACTCAGTGGAACAAAACCTTGGTGAGCTGACTGGCTCTCTCAGTTAGGTTTTTGATATATTGTCCACGAAATTCAAAGACCCGGGAGCCCCAGTCTACTTTCTCACTTGGAGAAGAGGACGGGGAGCCCTGAAGAGGGGAAGGCTTGCCCCAGGTCCCATCCCAGTGAGGTGGGCCACGTCCCTAATCGTGTCCTTCTGTCCTGCATAGCCTTTGCTGGTCAGTCTGCCTCCTCTTTCTGAGGCCCATGGAGGTCACCTCCCTGGTGACATCCCTGTCACATGGGTGGGCAGCTCCTCAGGAGCCTGGATTGTATCTTGTTTATGTCCAGTGTCTAGGAGAGTGGCCCGCACATCGTAGGTGCCCTGTAAATGTTGGTTGAATAAAAATGATGAACAAAATTTAAAATATGACTCAGGGGTGAGAGATGGGGAATCTTATATCTATAATATATATTATGTATCTATCTATCTATATCTCTATGTAACATATACAGATATAGATAGGGCTGGTCTCACTCGTTTAAGTCTTTCCTAACATGGAATTTTAGGTAGCTGTGAGTGGCAGGGCAGTATAATGCCTGGCACGTCAGCACACAGTAGATGCTCAATAAATGTCAGGTGACTAAATGAATGCCAAATGATACAGGTGAAAATATCACCCTGTCAGGGGTGAAGGGAGTAGCATCCTTATTTTCACAGGATGTGAAGCTTGAGATGAACATGTCTGCATAGGTCAGGCAGGGCTTCTGGAGGACATCAGGGTCTCCAGAGCATTCCAGGATTTATTCCGCACAGACAGCCCCCCTTCATCTGTTAGCCAGAGGATCCCAGCCAGGCCCCATTAGGAGATGAGCTCTGTGCCCCCTGCCCCCCGGCCTGAGCATCAGTGGCTCAGAATCGGGGCCTTCAGCTGGGAGAGGGAGAGCTGGCCTCTGCCAAGAGAGTGGGTGGCAGCTGACACCTTTTTTAAACACTGAGTGCTGGGGCAGTGCCTTGCCTGGAAGCCTGAAGTTTATCTAGCTGGAGAAGGGAGGCTGCAGTGTTTACAGCTGCTGTGGTCCTGGTGTACACAGAGCTCAGAAGCTCTTAACACAGAACGTGCTCACTTCCCAACATCAGGCTCCAGCAAAATCTGCCCATCTATGGCAGGCGGAGGAGGAAGTGGGCACCTTTGCTGGTTAGATAACTGGGCTCATTCCAGAGGCAACCTGGGTCTTGCAGTCAGAAGGGACTTGGTGTCCCCCAGGGTGCTGGCAGATACAGCAGCAGGTGCCGTGGTGTGGTCGAGGTGAGGAAAGGGGGCTGACAAGGGGTCGGAGCCTCTGCTGAAAGGCCCCAGCCCGGGCCTGTGGTGGGTCTTATTATGGGGCAGGTGCTCCAATGATTGGCCTGGAGTTAGGCGAACGGGTTGTGTCTCTACCTTCATGAAGCTCCCGGCCCAAGTTGGGGACAAGTCCCAGCATAGCAGAGAGAACTCATCATACCCATCTGTCAAATGGGGGACACCATCAGCTTCAAACCTCAGAAGGGAGAGAGTGGCCTTTGGGGCTGTGGGGGCTGCCACTGCTCCTGGAAGTAACGGAGGAGAGGACATGGGAATGAGCTGAATCTTGACAGAAGGATCAGACCAGCCCCGCTGGAGCCAGGGTCCCTGCAGGAGAGGAACAGGAGATGTAGCAAGTATAAATCTTGGTTCACAAACGCAGGGGCACAAGGTCCCATTTCCTAATTCTCTAAAAGTCAACTTAGTCTTAACTCAGAGTCCCCATCTTGTTGAGCAGGCAGGGAAATCCAACGTTATTACTCCTGGCCCCCCTGCCGCCCCCACCCCCAGGGCTGTCCATAGTGCCAAGGCCTCAGGGGTGGGGCCTTTACTGGTCATTTGTCCACATACGCCACTGCAGTGGTATCTCATCTCCCTGTTTCTGCAAGATCCTTGAAGTCAGGGGACTGCGGTTTCTGGGACCCGGGAATTGTGAGCTCAGCTGGGAGTTGGGTCCTGGAGATCTGTCTTTCCAGAGTGGCGCCTCCCTCTCATCGTGGTCATTCCTCCCAGGACCCTGCCAGGGAGAAGGCCTGAATACTCACTACACCTGGCCCCACCGTCCTCTCTCCTCCCCG